AAATCTGCGTTACCCACTTAGCAAAATGTGGATATTGGCTACGTAGTTCAATGTCCACGTTTTCAATGTCCACAGAGGGCGTATCGCATTCGCCAATCACGAAAAACGGGGCCGTGACATCTCTCAGGCTTCTCTCTGTCAGTAGGCCTGTTCTTTATTACTGCACTACTGAACTAGTGCAATAAGTTAAAATGAAACAAATAGATTACCTCTCAATCCTCTCATTCCAACTCATTGCACCAGTGTGCACTAGTTCAGGAGTGCAGCAATAAAAAACAGACCCCTTATTGGTTCCGCCATTTTGCGTCAAACCAATCAAACGGAGAATATTTCTTGCCAGACTCTAAAGCCCGCTGCAGACGATGCTATTTTTCCTGCTGGATTGCTTGCAATTTAGTAAATTACTAGGAATCCTGAATGCTGAGTGGTGCAATGATAGTAATTTACTAAATTGCAAGCAATCCAGCAGGAAAAATAGCATCGTCTGCAGCGGGCTTTACTACAGGGACTCTAGTTTCTAGCGTCCATGAAATTGCACCTTTAGTCGTATTGTAGACCCCGCGTTGGAAGTATCGTGCTCATAGAATCGTGCTGATGTAACCTAACCGTTGAGAGGCATTCTGACAAAAGGGTAAACTTAAAAAAGAATTAATATGGTTTTTTCATAATTTTGAATGACTTTTATTATGTGCTATATAATCACATATAAAACATAATTAAAGTTTCGTTAAAATCGAAAAGAAGCAAGTCCTGTATGTTTATATTATTTTGTGTTATAAAGCCTCTTAATAATTTTGTTAATTTCAGATTTATATGATAAATATGTATGTCCTAAATAATTTGGCGTATATGTACAAAATAAAATTTATGTGTATACCGCATACATATAAAAATATATATTTAATGAAAGTATATTTAATATATTCTGTACTCATTCTTCCCAGATAGCCAGCTAATATTGCAATGATGACAAATAACATCAATTGGCTATCTAGGTTGTAAAGTTCATTCTAGTAAATGAACTACCTGCAGTGGGGCAACAGATTAATGGTAGATTTGCTTAGGTATTGCAATTGATCCGGTATTATCTGTATTTGCATTAAATTTGTATTAACAGTGTCAATTTTTGTAATTATTTAAGCGAGATACATTATGGTTACAATATGGTATATTTTGTTTATTTTCTGCAATTTGCTATTATATGTCAGCGAATTTCATTACATTTCTGGTGACATTTTATTGACAAAATTGTTTGCAAAGACATTTTCGAAATCTGTTCTTGACGGATTTGGAATATTTTACAAGAGATTTAATATAATTCGTGTACATTTATTGTATTATATTACAGCAAGTGGTATATCACCACGAGTGTGGAAGAAATGCTGCCGACGGTATCAAAGGATTCCGAGATTAAGGACGGAGAAAACAAGAACCTAATTAAGATTGTAGAACGGCCGACATTTATATTAAAGACCAGAGAAGGGGAAAATAGAGCTGTTTCTCCAAGCCAGCGTAACGGCCACAAGTACGGTATTATTAAATAATAATACTATATTTAAGAAATAATAACTATTGGTTTATATATCATACCGTCGGATTTGGTGTGGAAAATAAAAGGAAAAAAAATGTGCTAACTACTTTTGTAAATCTATTAATTTACTAGATTTATTAACTTTAACTATTCTATCTGGTATTCGATCTTTGCTTTTTAAACCACACACATATATATATATATGTATATATACACACACATATATTTGTTATGTTTGACATGGTTTGAGCCTCGAGAGGATTTGCAAGTCACTACCACAATATATCATTATATATCTCTGTTATATACAATAAAGTAATACAAAGATTTTGTTTTAGAAAAGATGTCGATATATCTTCAACTACACCGGCAAAAGTACAAGATCGTAAGTAAATTATTTAGTATACAGAAGAATTCATATAGATTATCTACAAACTATTGAATTAAAAAAAAAAAGATTCTTCGATAAATTTGTGGAGTCCTTTTTCCCTAACAAATATATAAAGAATTATTCTCGATATATTTAGATTATAGTTCTCGAATTTTTACATCGTATATTTTTGTAACTACTTCTAAAATAAAAATTGTAATTGCGTAGTTCTATTATTTATTTGACACTTGAGAAGTTTAATTCATAAAAGTTGCCGTTCTTTTTAATTGCTTAGAAATTGTAAGTATTGATATTTTTTATTTTGATATCAATATTTACTGAAAAACAATATCAAGTAGAACAAAGAATTTATTAGAGGAATGTCCAATAGTTTTGAAATCCTATATGTATATGTTAGGATACGTCAGTATTTAAGTATATTTACATTAGAAAATTAATATCTTATAACAGCAAGGTATTAAATGATATATGATTTTAGCAATCCGTATGCTTTCTATATGTCCTGAAATGTGTACATGTATCAAGTTTATGGATGAAAGTATGCAACTGTGTGAAAATTCAATAGATTTTCTACATGACCAGCAAGACTTTCTAGTTGTTGGATGTCTAGGTGCACAAGGTGTTGGTAAATCGACGATTATGTCACTGCTAACGTCACGTTACTCGTACGTATCGCATTTGCGTGCAACATATGCTATTAAACTTTTTTAATTAAAATTTATATTACTGTAATAATTTTACTTTATTGTTAGGTCCAATATTTTTCGAGCTCAAGATTTATCACATTATGAAAGCAGCACTAATTGTACCACCGGAATAGATCTCTTTGTAACGAAAAACAGAGTAATATATTTGGATACACAGCCAATTCTTTCTGGATTTACAATCGATTCTGCAACCTTTGACCAGAAGAAAGGCGCACCTGATTTTGTGAACAGTGATTCCAATTTAGAGTTACAATCGCTTCAGTTTGCAGCATTTCTTTTTTCAGTATGCCACGTTATTATATTTGTACAAGATTGGTTTGTCGATCCAAATTTAGTGAGGTAATTGTGTGATAAAAAGTCTTTATTAATTTGACTATAATATAATTTTTTATTATGAAATCTACAATACATAATAAAATGTCTGTTTCTTGTATAGATTTTTACAAACTGCAGAAATGTTGAAACCATCCTCAACGACTATCATAGATCAAGATTACGTAGAATATTATCCACATGTTATATTTTTGCATAACAAGGCGGAATTGCAAGATTTTATGCCTGCTACTATTGATAAAATTAAGGTACTCTTAGCATATATGGCACACACATAACTAATGACTTCAACTATAGCTTATTTCAAAGAACTATTTAAAAAAAATAGTACAGTAAACCCTTCCATATTCTTACAATTTGATCCCCTCTCTATTTTTATCTTTTCCATCATTTTATTTTTAATTATTGAAACTTCTATTAATTTAGTTTTATTAATTATTAACTGTTTAAATGTCTATAAATTTAATGTAATGCTATTCTTTCTAGAATTTGGTTTAAATTATATTATCTGTGTTTATGCCAGTTTCTACCAATGCAGATTAACTTTAATCTGGGTTTAAATTACTTCTTATCCTTTTCTAATTCGTAAAACTAGAAAAAGTTATAAAGTAAGTTGAACCAAGTTAAAAGTTAAACTGCGTTGGTAGAAATGGGGTTTTTTTTAAATTGATTGCGTGTATAGCATTCTTATTTTATGTGACAAGCTACTGAAATATGAATCAACATTAAATAGGAAATTGCGAATTAAAAATTATTCGGTTCCGAAAATATGTTAAGACTACAAAGACTTGATTGTACTTAGTTCTGATTTAAGTACTTTCAAAATTGTATTTTTAAATTTTGTTTTTCTTTTCAGGACTTTTATAATAAAGTATTTTCTAGTTCTCGACTGCAAACTCACAGCGGTATAGATATGAGTCATTGTTCGACAGAAAGTAGTTTAAATTTATTTTTGATACCTTCGAGAGCTAAAGGAGGTAAGAGATTATTTTTTATTTGTTTATAGAAAATTGAATATTAATATTTAACATAATTTAATTGTACTTATTGCAGAAGACAAAATCTTTTGCGAAAACGAGGAATCTCTTATAAACAAATTACGAACAAAGATACATGGAGTTCCTAGGAATTCAATTACACCTTCTGTATTAACAGAGAAAAATTGGTAAATCTCTTAAATGAAACTTATTAATATTATAATAAAATTGCAATGCATAAATATTTTATATTTTTTTACTAACTCGGAAATTGAATTATTTTATCTATTCGTTTTTTACTTTCAGTTCCTATTTATATTATATAATTTGATTCAAATTGATATAAAATATGAATAAAACTCACAAGAAAGTTAAGAATAGATAAACTATTTCTATTCCAGTAAAAGATAAAACACAAAAAGTCTGTATATACATAAAAATAGTGCATTTATTATTGACAGGTATCAGTACGTTTCAAAAGTAATAGAGGTAATAAAGAAAAGCCATCTATCTTCTGAATATGGAAGACTAATGCCTTAAGTCTACAAATTTATGTGGAAGAAGGATATGAAAGATTATATGGAAGAAGGATGAAAAAAATGGAGGTATAATTAATCCACTTTATTATATGATACATTGCTTTCATAAATTATAATATTAAATTAAGGAGTATAAGAGTGTTTAATGTACACAGTATTGTTATATGATACAGAATTAAATTATTAAAGATTGCTTCCAAGAATAATACAATTTGCATTTAATATTTTTTACTTTCTTTCATCACTATTCCATATTATCAGCGTTCTTATTCTGCCATTTTCTCTGCTTTTTTTTTCTAAATATAGATATCTTTTTCACGTAAAAAAAAACTCGCAAACAAGTTTCATCATTTGAATTTCTTTATGAATAATCTTCTTGTTCGCTGTCACCTTGTTGCATGGATGTCATTTGCGTAACGGCTTGTAACTGTTGCCACTGTTGCTGTTCTGCGACCGCTTGTTCCTCTCGTGCTTTAGCAAATAACTCCTGCTGTTGCCGTAATAATTCTTCTTCTGGAATTCCCAAGTTCTCTAATCTGGTACTTTGACGTCTTCTTTTAGCCGCTACAGCTTTGCAGTCTCGTAACACAGCTTCTGCCTCCGCATTGTAATCGCCAAAGCCTAACTTCTCAAGCGCTTGTAGAACATGTTCCGCATTTATTGTTTTCTTTTGTTGCTGATTACAAATTTCATTTGCTTCAGAAGACAGCAGATGAATGAATTCTGTACAGCAGTTCAAGATGAGCTCCCTGGACTCGTTTGCAACTCGTACATGAGGCAGGATCTCCTTGATTATTTTATTAATTGATGCACGAGGAAGAGTAAGCTCGTCATCGTCAGTTGGTGACATTGCAGCCGAGGCCATTTGACTCCTGGAATATTAAAAACCAAAGCATTAGAAAGTTCCAAGGCATTAGAATAATCAGTTTATTATGAATTTAAATATAATTTATGACAAATACACATATAATATGTATTAGTTATTATTGATAAGAATAAATTTGGCACTTTAACTTTTTATAACCATTATTTGATTTATGGAATTAGAGATTATTATTATAGTTTTATATTTTTATAATTTATAAAATAATTTTTATAATTTCTCTGATTATTCTATTATTATTAAACAAAACGTAACATTTTTACAATAAAAAGTTTGTGTTTACTATTTTATTGGAGGAAGTTGTGTGATTCTTACACACTTAGAGAATTATCAGATAAGAGTTATCTAGATGTGTTTTACTAAAGATAAATCCTAATTGAACTTTGAAACTGAAGTGAAGCACAGTATTGGATAAAGTGGACATCTTGTCACTCAAATTGCAACAAAAAAATATAAAGTAAAAATGTAATATATCTAAATCGTTTAGATAATGATCATACAATAAAATGAAATGTTTGTACTATGCAAATGGATTTTAATATATAATACAGTTGTGCTGCTTTTATATTCTGATACGGTATGTGCGACAAATGCGAAAGAGGTAGAAAAACTAGCTGGTGTTGTGGAAAATATTACAGTGCAAGTCTTAGAAGATAAAAGTTATTTAAAAAATGACAATGTACTGGAATCGTTAAAATTGAATGTATCTTGGATACCACCAAGTGGAGGAAAACAACCTTATTCGTACAGGTGCTCTAATTAGTTCTTTCCAATAGTAATATATAATGACTATGTAAATAACAAAATTTTAATATGTACTATAGCATTATGATTACAAGTATCTTAAGAGAAACCGATATAAATAAGACAGAATGTATAGAAGGTTCTGCGCTCTACAATGTGCAAAATAAAGGTCAATTTAGCATATTAATACCGCAAAATAAATTATTGAATGGAATGTCGGAGGTACAAATACATCCAAATTGTATGTACAAGATACATGTATATGCTAATCCGAGAGCTAAACCTACAGGAAAGTTACCAGAGGTATGAACTAATAGTGCGCGCACACACGCACGCGACATTAAACTTAAAATATCAAGTTTTTAATGGTTTTTCTCGTAGGTTATTTATACAGTTCCGAAATGTATTGGTCATAAGTGCAGTTGCGCGGATGCAAAATCTATCTTGCCTACTCCAAAAGTGGAGGCAATTCGAACAAAAGAAAGTATTGTTGTTAACTGGAATATTACGTCGAACAGTTCTGACATTTGTTCTTATGTAATTAGGTGAGATTTCACCTTATTGATTTGATCTTGTTCTTTTACTATATGCATACTTAGATTATAATACAATGTGTAATAATAATATATTCTACTTATTGTTAGATTGTAATGTAATGTGTAAAGGAAAGTCCTCTATTATGAGATAGGATTCTAATATGAGATAGTAGGTTTTCAACGTCCAAATTCAATCACAAATCTCTTTTCGCACCGATTAAACGATCTAACAATCAATTATCCATTAAACAGACTTTACTCCAAGAGCAAAACATTCACGACGGAATCAGATGATGTATATTAATTTAGCAGAAATCCCCGCTATCTCGTATTAAGAGCCTATTCCACAATAGGGGACTTTCCTCTAATAATAATATTAACAATAATATTCCAGCGTTGGCATACCATTGTTGATATCAAAAGCAGGACAATCTGTGTATAATATCACCAAGATAAGTAATGTGACTTCTGCAACAAATACCTTCAGTTGGGACATGAGAGTTGATGGTCAATATATAAAGGTGAAAAATAAATATAAAATATTGATAGCAGCAATGGATTGTCGAGGTTGCTTGGGAACTCAAGGATTCGCTGTTATTAATGCGAGCGAAACTAAAATATTGAATAGGAGCACCATGGTATATACATATACATATAAAAGAATACATATTCATAATATTGATGACATTATAATATAAGATTCATATGATATAATTATGTTGCAGTGGTTGTTATTTGTCGGAGTTGTCATTTGTATTGTATTGGGCTTTATCGGTATTATGTCTATACATAATAAAAATGGGTATCGATTTGTATTGACAACTAGACGGTAAGATAAAAAGTTTGGCAAACTATTTGTAATAATTTACATATGTATGGTAATTATTGCATGTATATTATAACAGATGTAAAATTTTTATTTTTTTGAACAACAGGAGACAAACAGGGTCTTGTAAGCTCCGTCGTCAGTGGCCAGATCTAGTTTTCCAAAGACGCAATATTATGTATGTCAACAGGTTTGAGGTAAATGGAAGAGAATCAAATAATTAGAGATAAATAAAAAATTTTAGCATTCACAAAGTTTTTTTTTGTAGGAGCCGTTTTACAGCATACATAAAGATGAATTTGAAGTGCCGTATAAATATTTGAACCTTATACGTGAATTGGGAAAGGGACAGTTTGGTAAAGTGTATCTAGGTAAATTAAACAATGAGAGCACGTTAATAGCTGTTAAAATGGACGCACACAATGGACCTGAAGCACAGCATCAATTATTGGAGGAAATCAAGATAATGAAAGCAGCTGGTCCCCATACACATTTAGTGACCTTTATAGGTTGCTGCACTTTACCGGATAATCCTACATGCATACTTTTGGAGTATATGGAAGGTGGAGATTTGCTCGCGTATCTGCATCGCAGAAGAAACATTAAATCGAACGATATGTCTTTGTGCAGTTTTGAAAATGCTGTATCGAGGTACGCGGATATTATTGAAGGAAATAAAAACGACTATAAACATCCGTATGATACAATCGAGACTCAACAATTAATAAAGTTTGCGTTCGATATTGCAAGTGGAATGGAACATTTGGAAGCCAAGAGAATTGTACATAGAGATTTGGCAGCAAGAAACATCCTCCTGACCTCAGATCTAACACTAAAGGTAAGTAAGCATGTTTATATTACAATGATTTAAAAAATGGATTTTTCATGGATTTATCGTGGATTTAGATTTCTGACTTTGGCCTGTCACGAAGTGGCACATATGTAATACATAATATGTCTGACAAAATTCGCCAACTTCCAATACGTTGGATGTCGCCAGAAGCTATACGCGATCGCGCTTTCTCCTCTAAAAATGATGTCTGGTCATTTGGTGTTGTACTCTGGGAAATTGGGACTTTAGGTTCTTTTCCATATTCCAGTATACAGGACAACAAGCTGTTGCATTATTTAACTCAGAGCGAATGTCGCTTAACATGCCCCGATACAATTTCTCAGGATATATACAACATTATGTGTTCGTGTTGGAACACAGCTCCGCAAGACAGACCTAGTTTCGCACAACTTGTTTCGGACCTAGAGGCACTAAAGAAACCTTTACACTTTATGCATGAAACAAGTAATCCTTGTTATGGATTGCTGTCGCACTAGTATGTCTTGGGATTAACGGATAGATATATATACGTACATATGTATGTGTTGTAAAAATAATAAAACACCAAAATATGAATATATCTATATGTATGTGTGTTTTTGATAAAATGGTACAATTTTATCTTTTGTCAGATATTGGGAGCTTTCCAGCAAGCGACACAAGTCGACACAAATGTCGTTCTTTCTTCGCATTCAATGAATAATAAAGACAGAACGACATTTGTGTCGCTTGCTGGAAAGCTCCCATTATGTAGTCTCAATCTTGGAAAATCTATACTATTACATCATACTTTTTACTACTTGGAACATAAAAAAAATGAAATATTTTATTAAAAACAGTTGAGTTTTTATAAGGTACAGTATATTATAACAGATCAGTGGAGAGAGTAAACTCAACGGTAAATGCTCCAATCCTTACAAGATTGTGGAAAATTGAACTAATTGTAAGTTAGAGAAAGAAAAAAAATATATAAAAGCCATATCATCGTAATTATTGGTGCAAAAATGCGCTAAAATAAGCTCTTAAGATATATAATGGTACAGAATACAAAGGATGCGTTCAGGGAGCTCACTATTTGCGCTATTTAGTGTTGAAAGCGTCATTCTATTCTTGTTGCTCATGCATCAAAGAAAGATATGTATTTTCAGCGTTAATAGTGCGCTCCGCGAACGTACCTGAAGAGAAAAATCATAAAATTTATTTATTTACTCTGAAAAAGATAATGCATTAAACATATACTTTTATTCACTATTTATTATGTTCAGCATGAAAGTAAATGTAAACGGATATAAAAATGCTTTACAAGTTTGAAAAATATTTCATTATATATAATATATATAAAGACAATTAAGTTGCTTTTATTTATATATTATTTAGCTCACTTACTTGTTAATTTACTCCGTTATTACTGTAATCAACCTAATTAAGGATGAACTAAGGTTATATTCTAACATTCACTGTCAATACCTTAGAACATAGGGTGCGTTCCGAGTTGCGCATGAAGCGCACAGACTGCATAGAAAGTCGTTCCGATTTAACTAAAGGTGCCATTTCATGCAGCGTCAAAGCGCTGGATACAGTTCCCCCACTCTGTCTCCCTCGATCGACGCGCGTAAAA